AAGAAACAATATAGTGACTTCATTGAAGAATATAAAATGCTAGGTCATATGACCAAGATTAATGAAAATGAAAGAAATTATAATGACAAATTGAAATATTATCTGCCTCATCACGCCGTATTGAGAGATTCAAGTCTAACTACAAAATTACGCGTCGTGTTCGATGGCAGCGCCAAATCGGATAGTGGGGTATCACTGAATGACTTACAATTTATTGGTCCGATTCTCCAGAAAGATTTATTCACAATAATATTGAATTTACGAAAATATAGATACGTCATATCGGCTGATATCTCCAAAATGTATCGACAAATACTTATTGATAAGTGTCAACGTAATTTCCAAAGAATTTTCTGGAGAACCGAACCTCATAATGAATTAGAATGTTATGAATTAAATACTGTCACCTACGGCACTGCTTCAGCTCCTTATTTAGCAGTGAGATGTTTATTCCAATTAGCATTCGAAAATGAAGTGGATTTCCCTAAAGAATGTGAGATTATAAGAAATTGTTTTTATATGGATGATCTTCTGACAGGAGCTGATTCCGTGTCTGAGGTCACAGAAATTCAACGCAATCTTACAGAAATTTTAGCAAAGGGAAAATTTGGTTTGAGAAAGTCGTTGAGTAATGATGCTACTGTAATGAATAACTTGAAAATCAATACTGAACTAGAATGTAGCACTCTACAGTTTGGTGAAGATCATACAAATAAAACCCTAGGTATATTTTGGAATGCACATTCAGATATGATACAATATTCAGTCAAACAAATTCACATTCCAGAAAAGATTACAAAGAGACATATTTTATCCAGCGTTTGTCAAATATTTGATCCCCTAGGATTAGTGGCTCCTGTAATAATTCTGGCAAAAATTATAATCCAAGAATTGTGGAAATCAAACATATCATGGGACGAACCAATTACCCAAGATTTAAACAATAAATGGGTGGAATTCGAAAGGGAATTACCGGTTTTGAATGAAATTAGGATACCACGTTATATTTTTAGCAATGAATGCATGAAAATAGAATTACATGGTTTTGCTGATGCCTCAGAACGGGCATATGGAGCCTGTGTATATGTAAGGTGTGTTGATTCATCAGGAAATATCATGTCTCGTCTCCTGTCAGCGAAATCCCGTGTTGCACCATTGAAGCAATTAACGCTTCCGCGATTAGAGTTAAATGCCGCTGTATTACTAGCACATTTGTCAAAAAGAATTGTCATTGTGATGGGAATAAACTTCTGTCAATATAATTATTGGTCTGATTCAACTATTACATTGAGATGGCTACAGGGTGCTCCTAATACTTGGAAAACTTTTGTAGCCAACAGGGTTGCTGAAATTCAATCATTAACAAAAATTAGCGATTGGCATCATGTTAGGTCGGAAGAGAACCCTGCTGACTTAGTATCTAGAGGTTGTTTTTCTAGTAAATTGTTGGAATCAGATTCATGGTGGAATGGACCATCATGGCTTCAGAAAGATGTACATATTAAATTCAATCAAATATGGACTATTCAGATGTTGAAATTCCTGAAATGAGATTAACTTATAATGTTGCAATGACTACATCCGATCTTGATATATTTTCCAAGTTAGCTTCGTTGAGAAAATTGCAAAGAATAGTTGCATTCATATTTAGATTCACTAAAAATACGAAATCATCCACCACCAATAATAGAATCTATGGACCATTGAGTCATTTCGAATTGAAAAATGCATTGAACACATTATTGAAGTTGGCACAACAAGAATATTTTTATGTGGATCATCAGAATCTGTGGCAAAGAAAAGCTTTACATAAAAAAAGCAAGATATTATGTTTGAATCCATTCCTTGATAGTGACGGTTTAATTAGAGTAGGTGGCAGAATCAAAAATTCTAATGAACATTTCGATAAAAGACATCCGATTCTGCTACCTCCACGACATAGATTAACAGAATTGATATTAATAGACAGACACGAGAAACTTTCACATTGTGGGGCACAAGCTCTTCTTTATAATGTAAGAGAGAATTATTGGCCTATATCAGGTCGCAATTTGGCAAAGGGCATTGTGCGAAAATGCATAATTTGTTTCAAAACTAACCCAAAATCAGTAGATTATCTAATGGGAAATTTACCCAAATTTCGAGTGAATCCTTCGTTACCTTTTTTAAATGTTGGAGTTGATTACGCAGGTCCTTTCATATTGAAAGATCGTAAAGGTCGTGGAGCAAAATCAATCGAAGTATGTATGTGCCTATTTATTTGCATGTCCACGAAGGCCGTGCATTTAGAAGCAGTATCAGATTTGTCATCAGAGTCATTTATAGCTACATTCAAACGGTTCATTGCACGACGAGGTAAACCAAATAATATATTTTCCGATAATGGGTCGAATTTCGTTGGAGCCAACAATGAAATCAAACAATTGTATCAATTTGTCGAATCAAATTCTGATGAAGTAGGTGATTTTTTAATGAATGAAAGTATAAAATGGCACTTCATACCTGCCAGATCTGCAACCTTCGGTGGCATTTGGGAGGCAGGTATTAAAAGTAGTAAATATCATTTAAAACGAGTAATGAGTAATGCATCATTAACATATGAAGAATTTTCAACAGCATTAGCTCAAATCGAGGCTGTTTTAAATTCGAGACCCCTATCTCCCCTATCCTCTGACCCCGAAGACGTTTCTGCATTAACACCCGGACATTTTCTGATTGGAAGATCCCTGGTATCTATTCCCGAACATAATGTGATAGATGTACCAGAAAATCGTTTGAATCGTCTCCAAAGGCTGCAGGCAATGTATCAACATTTTTGGGCTCGTTGGCAGAAGGAATATGTCTCAGAATTACAATCTAGGACCAAGTGGAAGCAAAACTCTTCACAATTCCTGAAGGTGGAAACTTTAGTGCTGCTGAAGGAGGATAATGTGCCAGTTCTTGATTGGCAGCTTGGCAGGATTACTGAGCTGCATCCAGGTGCTGACAACATCACCAGAGTGATAAGTGTGAGGGTGAAGAATAACATCGTGAAAAGATCCGTTTCTCGAGTGTGTGCTCTACCACTTGACGATTGACATTTTATGATAAAATGAGATCATGAGATCTTTCTAATTTTTGATCATTTGTTATATTTGTTAATTGATGGAATACTGATTGAAAGTGATGCTTTCAAGGCGGCCGGTATGTTTAAGAAAGTTACTTCAGAAGATACTGTATATTAGGATGTCATAGAGACAAGAAAAAAAAAGGTTGTTATAAAGAAATAATAAAATATAACGTCAGAAATACTGTCTTTCAAAAAGATTATCGAAGTTTAAAATATACAGTCCACTTATTTATTCGAATTCCAAACTCTATTCTTCATACACAGTTATTATATACCCAGAATAATCCAGTAAATAGAGATTTATCAGATTAGAGAAACATAAATATAATAGCAATGAGTAATAATAAATGATAATGTATAATAATCAGTATTTCCAGCTTCATATTGTAACCTCTTAAGCATTGTTTGGACATCAATTTGAACTATTCCATATAAAAGCATCATTTGTATTACCAGAGGAAACCAAATTCACATTAACAATTTCCAAATTGTAGTCACCAATTAATTGAACATTTATCAAATTAACGTTTTTTTTATTTACATAGATATCCTCTGGATGTTCATAACCATGTATTTTTGGAGGATGAATAGCTATATGTGAGTGCAGTCAAAAAGCTTATTACCCCTGGAAAATCATATCTTCTGTTGAATTACAAAAATTTTGAAAAATCAATTAAATGAAATCCAATTACTTTGAATCTACTCTGTTCTTAGCCGATTCAACTGGTAAATATTGGCAGGAAATTTGACGAATCTTCGGAGAATTTCAACCTGGTTCCAGTACTTAACGATTTTGTTCACACGTCTTGAAACATAAGGCTGGGACACAGAAAAATTGAAATTGCAGCTCATGTCCATATGGTAACTTTCTCATACAAAAAACTGTAAAGAAACTAATTAACACAGTAAACAGCATCATGTGTATCACCTCTGTGATAGTTGGGTACCAACGTTTGTGGAGATATCCAAATCTTGAGCACGATGTGCAGGTCATGTAAAAAAAGCAGAGGTGTAGGTATTGAACCTATTCTTTGGAGAGGCGAAACATTTTGATAAATTGTTTGTGACCCAAATCATCAGATTGATTTCCACGCTACTGTATTTTCGTCTATCTATTTGTTCTGCATCTTTCATTACGTCAATCAACATCAACTGTACAAATTTCTCTTCCATTATGTTTTGATGTTATTCACTATTTATTCAGATGATATGAAACTCAAAAAAGATTCTTTAGAGTCCAAAATGGTACTCCAATATAAATAAACAACAAAAATATTCAATGACACACGTCACAAGTCAACAAAACGAACGGAAACATACAAAACGAGTGCTTTGAAAACGTACACGCCTCAAATTTCACTGGTCAAGAATACCAAAACGTACGAAACTCTCGAAGTGCGCATACGCATCAAAAGTTCACTCTTCCAGAATACGGCCCCCTGGAGTTTTTTGAGATCTACCATTCGATTGGTATCGGATGGCATAATTCTTATTTCGCTATCAAATCGTGAAATTGAGTGCACAGGAAAGTGCGAGTTTTCAATCATTTTGCTCAGGGTAGTGATTGGCATAGGTGCCGTTTGATAGAATACAATGTGGTTACATGCCTTTTGGGACATAGATATATCATTTCATTATCAGATGACAGTCTAACGTTGCAGCCGGTTCTGGGACAATAATTAGTTTGCTGAAATATATCTCATCGAAACAATACTTCTGATCGTTGTGAACAGTACAAAAAGCTATAGGAATGAGTAAAGTGGGGCTTCAAAACCGAGGAGTTCTGGATGCGTTCGCCGTATACTTCAGATTCTCGAAAACACTTGTTATTTATTCAATAATTTACTACTGATTTTCTTGCATGAATAAAAAAAAATTGTTATTGTTTCAGTTTGCCTGGGAGCCGTTGCTGCTGGCACCGTTCTTGGTTGGACGGGAAACATTTCCGAGAAGTTAACAAACTCTACACTGAACTCAACGCTGAATGACATCGACATCGACAAAGATGCTTCTGGGTGGATAGGCTCTTTTGCTACTTTAGGAGCCTTGGTCATGTGCTTTCCAATAGGCTACATTTGTGACTTGATCGGCAGAAAATGGGGTTGTCTTATGACAGTAATTCCCTTCTCCGTGGGATGGCTCCTAATAATATTCGCTGGGAATACTGGAATGATATACGCAGGACGATTTCTTACAGGTCTAGCAGGAGGCGCTTTTTGTGTGGCAGCGCCTATTTATACCAGTGAAATTGCAGAGGATAAAATCCGTGGTACTCTTGGAACCTTTTTCCAACTCCTTCTCACAGTAGGAATCCTTATAGCTTACATCGCTGGGGCGTATATGTCACCTGTAGGCGTTTCAATTATTTCCGCTATAATACCGTTAATATTCGCTGCCTCCTTCTTCTTCCAACCTGAAACTCCTGTGTACCTCATGATGAAAAAGAAGGAGAGAGAGGCACAAAACTCATTGAAAAAACTGCGGGGTTCGTCTTATAATTGCGATGACGAACTGAAAGAAATAAGAGAACGTTTAGAGGAAGACGCAAACAACAATGCCAACTTTTTCGAAGCAGTTAAAACTACTGCCAGTAAACGTGCTATTTTCATTTGTTTTGGATTGATGTTCTTCCAACAAATGAGTGGAGTCAATGCTATAGTTTTTTATACTGGAAGTATATTCACAGCAGCAAAATCATCTCTGGAATCCTCTACTGCTACTATCATAGTAGGTGTCACTCAGGTTCTAGCTACATTCGTTTCCTCGTTGGTCATAGACAGATTCGGAAGGAAAATTCTTCTTCTTTGCTCAATTATCTTCATGATGCTCTCTGGTTTAGTGGTGGGAATCTTCTTTTCTCTCAGCGATAGAAAGGTTCTAGATGACGATGGAATTGCTAAAATAGGGTTCTTGCCAATTATGGGCCTGATAATATTCATGATAGCATTTTCTCTTGGTTTTGGACCTATTCCGTGGTTAGTGTCTGCTGAATTGATGCCACCTGAAATAAAATCAACTGCGTGTTCGTTAGCAGCAATTTTCAACTGGTTCTTAGCATTCATTGTTACTAGATTCTATGAAAATTTGAAAAATGCCATAGGAGGTGATTCAACGTTCTACATATTTGCTGGTATATCTTTTATAGGTATTATTTTTGTATTCATGTTTGTACCTGAAACGAAAGGTAAATCTATATCGGAAGTACAAAAACTTCTCAGTGGTGGAGAGAATAAACATTCCATTGATTATAGGGACGGAATTGAAAATCCTAATTTCGAGAAATAACAAACAGGCAGAAGATAGGGATTTTAAGACTGTGAACAACCAAATATCAAAGACTAACTACATACTTTTTTCTCAAGATATTGCTCATGATTGACAAATATTTCAAATAAAGGTACAACTTTTTCCAAACACGACGCATAGGTAATATCTATCAAATGTACCAACCTACCGATTCATAAAAGATCCGAAATAATGATCACTCATTCACTGATAATTCGACTGTTTACCTTACATTGCCTCTGATGATCAATACCTACCTACTGAAATATCAACTTCCAATGTCGAAATAAGTATTTGGTTATTCTAGGATATTGTTTGTGTATATTCAGTATTTGTTAACCCGTTATAGAAATTAGGTAGTAAGGTTTTATTCAGAGTACCTGATATGAACATGCGCAATATATTTTTAAACACTTGTTGCCATCTATAGGTATATTTTGTACATATTGAAAGTAATATATTTTAAGTTATGTCCCCATATGCGAGGTGCATATGTTGAAATTTTATCAATGTCCAAGAGTAATAAAAGTGTTTCATCATGAATTAAAAGTGCCCATTTCTACATGAGTCCTGTGCCCATCACTGCACTTCTTTCCCATATTTTAATATTTATGTCATTGTTATGTATGTTTTGATAAGTATTTATAGGGTTAGGCAAAATTAGAGATCGATTGAAAATCTCCGGAATCGTTCATCAGATTTTTCTATGATACAAGATAGTTAGCTGAATGATATGTTCAATTTTACATTGTTGCCATGTCTACTGTTGTTTCTGAAACCATCCTGAACCTCTCAATTTTGTACGTGAAGATACTTCGTTATTCTGATTAATCAAATTATGTAAAAAGCATACTATGAAAATTCTCAGAAGAATCTGAAGATCGAAACCCCTCCATACTTCTGCTAAACGCTTTATGAATGAAAGCAGTTATAAAATGAAGCAATACCCTTTATCCTCATTTGTCACGCCTGAAAATGTTGTCAGCCCATTGCATTTCATCAATATTCGTTTGTTAATATATTAATCGATCCTGATGAACGTTATTTTATTTGATAGCCCCTGTTAGCTCATTTTTTTAATTTGAATTTGGCCATTAGCACATTGGAATAATATGGTAAGTGAAATAATGTTTATGAATCGGCAGTCAGAATAATAGGTTTTTCTTTAACCTAATGATACCTGCATACTTATATATCTATTTATAAAAAAGATATTATAGTCTTGTCACCTCTGTCGTTGAATAACGTCGACGAAATCGCAAAACCAAGTAACTGACAAAAATTCGAAAATGGGATTCTGCATGGCGGCAATCGGTCTATCATATTGGTGGGGATGCGTATGCAAAACCTCACAACTGGTGAAAAATTGTAAATATTTTGATATCCATAAATACAAAACCCCTTATCTGAAAAACAAAATAAAAGGGGTCGTCAAAAACAAGTATCTTACAGTTGGCAACGTGATTCACGCCTCTGATATTTTCTATTCAATTTCTTTTCACAGAGATCAATCTCTGCTAATTGTTGGTGAGTGACTTTTTATATAACAGATATGTGAAATAGTTCATTCTTAACTTCAATTGGTATTTCAACACAGGATGTGAGAATTTATCTCAAGTATTTGTTAAGCGGAATGTCCAGAAAAATGAAGTTACGTGTTTTTGCGAATTACTTTTCTGAATAATTGTTGTTGCTTTCGCACAGAAGCAGATGTCAAAACCAAGTATCCTACGCTGACAAACGTAAACAATGACTTATTTCAACGATCAATGTACAAACGTAAGGATAATAATATTCAGGTGGTTTGTTACTATTTTTTATTGAATCTGATCAGTTTTTAACCCAAAATTATAAAGTTTTTATTGTCTCCTGAAAATTTTGGATTTTGCAGTATATAACTTGGTTTTGCGGTTTCGCCGACGATAAATAAAACATGAGATAAAACATAATAGGAGAGGAAGCCATGATATTATATTATATTATACAGTATGATGCAAATGTATGGAATGAATTCATTTCAAAACAAGATGACTTTCGACAAAAATCCGAAAACTAGAGTTTAGAACTTTTTTAATTGATGTATATTTCTAATTAGACGACCCTTCGATGTTCGATTCTCAGTAGCAGGCCTCTGCAAGATTCAGTCAATCAAATGATAATCCATTTTAATTTCAATTTTCTTATGCAAAATTTTGACTGTTCGATAGACGATCAGTAGACCTTTGAAACGAGGTGTCACATGACCCCTGTTTGTATTTGAAAGAATCGTCCATTACGTCATTACTCCAACACCGGTGACGTAACATCTCTTATATGAATATCATGAGATGAGGCTTCAAAAATTAACACTCACGTGTTTTTGGAATTTTCTCGAATGTCGTCCATTTCTGAAATAATGAATTTATTCCATACATTTGCATCATACTGTATATAGTTCATTATTGACTTTTTTGAGCAACCAGCATGAGCAAATATGTCTTATACTCACTTCAAAAAATATATCATGTAAATATAAAAGACTTGGCAACAATGTGCTGAATTCCGAGAACTGACAAGGCACCGCCCACAATTCGTGCGCCGTGTTGTCAAGTTCACCGGTTCAAATATGTCCTCTAGTGTGAATTATAATGATAAATATTTACACAAATTCATTATAAGTGTTATGTATTGTTTCAAGATTGGTAGCATTGGTTGGTAAGCGCACATGCGCAGAATGTACATAAGTGATACCGAGAGTGCGGCAGCTCTCTCTTGCTGTAGCCTTGGCTGTGATAAGTTTTGTCGCTTCTTGAATGTTAAATGTTATATCCACGGATTTGTGCTGTACTGTATATGTCGAAGACTGTGATACTGAATGTAAAGTACTGAGTGAAATCGTGTTTATTAAAACATTGAATAAGCAACAACAACAACAACACATGAATACTTTGAGAAATTGATTTTATATTGATAATTAGTAATATTATCAATAAATAATTGAGAAGTCATGAATTATTAAGTAGCAAATATTTTTGAGGTTTCCCGTCGTATTTCAACATATGGCAACTGTGCTATGGTCTACCCCTACTTACGAAATCGTGACGTCAGTTCTTATTCGCGGTAAATGTCAAGCCGTTTGAAAATTACCGTGGCATTATTGATAATTATAGCACCTTGAAATCTTTCGAACAATTCTAAATAAATATTGAGTGATGATTGTATTCAAGTAATAACAAAAATTCGTCCACTCGCCTCTTCTATCACTACCTCATTATTCTAGATACGGAAAACAGACAATAGACAATATTCCTGCATAACAACTTTTGATGAGATTCAACTTAGTGATATTGATTCCTCTATAGGACGTTTCGTATTGGTTTCATCAACCTATATTTCCAAATAAAGTCCTGATTAAACATGTTCGCAGATCTAGAATACATCGAAAGTATCATACAAAGTGGTTTGAATGTGTTTCAACCTAGTTAACGCCATCACCAATGTTTTCGCGAAATTTAGGAGAAAAAATATTATCTTTTCACTTATTTCTGTTCATTGAGTGTCAGATATTGATGGACTTGTCATTTATTACTAGACAGTGAATAGTGAAAACAAATTGTTCCACCAAATTATTCAACGCAGCGCTTCAAATTGTTTTAGGTTGATGGATCATTTCCTAAATTACCTTGATTATTCCACTCATTGCAAAATACACATTTTTGATTGGTTGACATATCTGTGTTGATTATCGAAAACATGATGTTTTCGTTTTTGTATTTCGGCTGTTGTTTAGCTACTGATGGATACCTACATGGTTGTTTTCGATTTTGTATTTCGCTTCCTTAATGTTAGTTTGATCTAATACAAAATAGAAAGACATAGAAAAGACTTATGCAGCAGGCTGTCATGGAAATGTCATAATATTCTCATATTCAGGGATAAATAGCACACTGCGCAAAAATTCAGACAAAATGGTGATTAGCACTGCATTTTAATGTGTATCGAAGAATTCAACTACGATTGGCATTATAAACAAACATAACCTATATCAACCTAACCTCTTTTTTCTTGGGAGGCGTAGTGGCTTTTTGGTTTAGGTAAAAAAATAAGTAATATTGTACAGAGCCATAAATAACATACAGTGTCTTTCATAATGTTGGCATCATGGAAAAACTTTCAATGATTATTTTTTTCACATGTCAAAATGTGACGTTTTCGTTTTTTAACCAATATCAATGCCTTATTCTAGCTAATCATTTAGTATCATACTGATCATTTATTAGTAACAAATTTGAGCGCTAATTTTCCATCATTTGGATCTTTGTTCAAAAAGGGGCCCGTAGGCTGCGTTGTTGGTAGGCTAAAAATGATGCAAAGCCGGAGTTAAATGTCTGTTGTCGCTGGGTATTTTACAAAATAGTTACCTCAAATCACATTCGTGTTGGCGTTTTTTATATATGATTTTTACAATCATAGCACTCGTCTTTGTTGCTATTGAGATATCCCACTCGTCGACAATTTATTTCGGAATTCGACTCGATCGTTGAGTTTTGCCTTGAACATTATGAAAAATAGCCTACTTGGTAGGGGTCACGTGACTTTTGCTGCATGTCGATGATAATACGTATTTTCAAATTAATCGCTGAAACAGGCTTATTTATTCGAAATTCATTATATTTTACAGAGAACAGTTGTTTATATTCCAATTTCAAATATGTGTCTCGATTCATCATCATCATTCTATTACAATCCTCAGTTCTTAATTTCTACGGAATGTCTGTAATGTTAAAGTAATATCACCGGCAAAACTATTTTTTCCATTAGCTTTTTTATATAATAATTATATAATTTTCTCCAGAAATTAATAAGTCCCGCTTCAAGTTTCTGTTATGTTCAATGTTGATGTAAGTATATTAAAATTAAAAACAAAACTTCTTTGGACAAACAAATCACAAATCAAACCATCATAAGCGCCTATTATCTATTACCTTTTTTTACAAATAATCAACAAATTCTTTGGATTA